AGAAAAACTTCACCCGGACAGACCGGATGAACTGCAGCCACTCTTTGCTGAGAGGACCCTGCTTTTTCACCTCCGAGAGGACAAACTTGAAAGCATGCAGCAACGTCTCGTTCCTCGGTGCGATCAGTTCGCAGAACGTCATCAATCGAGGCTTTACGTGCAACAGGGCAGCCCCAAGAGTTGAAAGTGTCCTCTGTGGGGAACACCTCCTGCAGTCGCCACTCGAACCTAAGTAAGCAGGAGTCTCATGTTCAGAGCGCTGACACAGGCTTATGCCAAGCAACTGGCAGCGACAAAGGCCAATCGTTGGGAACCCAGTTGCCATGAGCATCTTTCCAGTAGTGCGCAGCGACACGCTGAATCGAGCCGACAGAAGGAAGGCAGGATTTGTGAGCAAAGCATCTGCACGGGAAGGCATCGAGTGTCACCGTGCACTCGAACTTCCCGGCCGTACTCATATGCTTCCCAAACTCAACGGCATCCAAAGCCGCAAGCCTAGGCTGACAGCCGCAACACTCCTGAACCGAGACAGACCTTTCGTTTAAGTCAAGCCACCCAGCCCATGGTTCGGGATCCATCCTCTCGAGGGCCTCCATCTCCTCAACGATCGCATAATGCACCTCCTCGACAAACATCACCTCGAACCAGTGCGTTCCATAGGACTGTGGATGCTCTGTCAAATTAAAACGCACTGTCGATCAGCCAAGGTGCTGTGGGATGAGAATCCGTCGCAGCAACGGGAGCCGCCGCAGGAGCATCACTGGGCTTGGCATTGGCAGCGGAAGGGGCAGTGCGCTTGCCACGGAGTCGAGTCGCCATGAGTGGGAGGTCCTATCCGCTGCTCTGATCCTTGGAAAAATCTGCCTCGAAGGGTCCTGCCGCTCGCTTCCGAATGTCGCTGTCTGTGCAAGCAGACAAGACAGGCTCTGTTTTGCAGCAAACTCTTGGATGCAGTTGTCGACTTGGTCTATCCAGCGGACTGTGCATGTCCCTGACGCAGGAGGTCTTTGACACGAGTGGCAACGGGATGGCCCTGACGGCTGTCAGGAAGGCTGCGGCCCCCTTGCTCGTGAGACTTAGATGATTTGAGACTAGAGCATATTAGAGTACTCCGGGGCACGATGTCCAGCCCATCTAGGCCAACAAGACAGCTCATTTTTCAAGAAGCGTTTGCTTCTGTTTCTGTCCTCAGGCCTACACTTGGATTGGGTCGGGGTCGCGGCTGGCAGATAACAT